TTTAAAGGGACAGGGCAGGCGTGCGAATATGACCGTACTCCGTAACGCCGCACGCGCGTTTGCGTTTGCGTATCTGCGTTTCTGCGCTTTTCTGTTTTTCTGCATTCGATTGTACCTCGATCGACGCGCGAAGAACTTGATGATTTATTTACTCTTCTGAAGGAAAGTAGTTTGGAATAGTTCCGCACTTTAATTTAGAAACCATATTAAAATTTTTACTATATTTAAAACCCGATCTAAAGATACCAAGAGGAGCTTGAATTTAAATGCGCCGGCAATACGTGACTCGTCCTTTAGGTCGGGAATGCGCAAAAATTGCCTTCGCCAATTTTCTGAGGAAAATAATGTTACGAGCTCAGGCCAAATACCGCGCTTCAAAAACTCTCCACTGTTGGAGACATCGTTTTTACATCCCGCCTGCAATCATAATTTGAAAGCACGCCCGCGATACGCGACGCGATCGCCCAACCGTCCCGCTAAAAGAATTGGCCTTTTTCTGGTTTTACGAAAAAACTAATGTTTCGGCTTTGGGCAATGGCGGCGATATTAACGGCACTTCAATCAGTATTCGATTTTCGAATTTAAACACTCCCTACGAGCAAAAAATCGACAACTTTTTCTTGTAACCTTTAGAAAATTATGTTTCACATATTGATGCATAACCTCGCTATTTCAATTGCTTTCCAATATTGTCATCATTTCTAATCGTCAGAATGTGTTGCGAAAACCTAATTAAATGATTTCAGACGAGCACAACGGCGCTAATCGCTTTTGTTGTCCTCTAATTATGGACCAATGGAAGTTCCATTGCGTAACGGATCCGCAAAAAAGGTCTTCTTTACGTTACTACAGAAAAATAATGTTTAGACTTTAGGCCAAATTCTGCGTTTCAAAAACTGTCGATTTTATCTTTTACTGCATCCACCTGCAGGTACATCCCGCTCTCAATGAGAATCTGAACGGACCCCGCGACACTCGACGCGCAAGCACATATTCCCCAAAATTCCTGTATTTTTTGTTTTTTTCTAGAAAACCTATGTTTCGACTCTGGGCAAGGTTGGGCGCTGTTAATGACACTACAATCGAACTGGATGTGTCCATTTTGCGCAAGCCCTCGGAGAAAAAAGTCGACAAATTTTGGTCTTTGCCTTTAGAAAAATCCTGTTTCGTATTAATGGATATACCCGCGCTTTCAATCGCTTTCCAATACTGGCTAGATTTCTGTGGGTAAACCCAGTTAGCGGATTTAAAGCGACGATAAAGGCTGGAACTTATTTTTCCCGTAGCACACGACGCGCACTCACCCCTTCCAGTGCGTAACGCATGCGAAAAAATGGGACCAATGGGTTTTGCTGTTCTAAAGAATAATAATGTTGCGGAAGTAGTTGAAACTCTGCGTCTCAAAAGCTCTTCAATAATCGGCGAATTTTTGCTTATTGCTGATGATAATTTGAAAACACCCCGCAACATGCGAAACGATCGCTCAAGACAAAGGACAACATCGGCGTTGCAAAAAGAGGCATTCAAAACGTTTCAAAAATTGCAAAAAAGTATGGGGCGACATTGTTTTCTTAAAACCTATTTAAAGGCAGGTCCGTTTGTCAATGGTAATTTGAAAACAGCAGCCCGCGAAACGCGGTGCGATCGCTTGGTCCTTCATTTAATTTTTTTGCTAGAAAACTAATGTTTCGGCTCTGGGCAGGGTTCTGGGCTTTAAAGGCTTTGCAATGAACTCCCTTTTTTTGCCTTTTTGCCTTTTACAATTTAAAGAGACATCCAACTGTTGAATCGAAGGGATGAGTCATTTTACGCGCCCCCAGCGCACAAACGAGCGCACGCTTGCGCTAGCGTACCTATCTAACCAACCTGAAAGCCCTAGGTATTCGACAAAAAAAAAATTATGTTTCAACTCTTGCGCTCTTTCCGCGCGTTTAATGGCCGGCCATTATCATTAGGCATCAGTGGCTGTGGAAACCTATTTAGAGAACATGCAATAATTGGGTTTTCCATGTCGCGGCAAGCAGCGCGCACGTCCGACCTTCCATTGCGTAGCGGTTGTGCGTCGCGCGTTGCAAATAAGCAAAAAACGAGAACGCCTTTTTAGCTTTTTAACCGAAAAATAATGTTTCGACTATAGATTTAGATCAGCATTTTAGTTTGCTAACACTGGGTCTGCAATATGGTAGGAATGTAATAGGCCAGAAAATCCAATAGATACAAAAAATACTTTAAGGATCTTTCGCATTATCGGGGGGATTTTTCCCATGGTCATACAGTGCGTATCAAAAAGATAGAGCCACTTGGTTTTTCGCCTTTAACTTCGCGCCGCGGTATTTTCTAGCGAAGCTAAGCATACACATCTTGTAGTGCTTGAACAGGCGCATCTTTCCGCGTAGTCGAAATTTTTTTGTGATCGATATTAAGCTTTTTATGACAAAAACAAGCAAATAGAGCCAAAAACACAAGTATCAAAAAGATAGAGCGCACAATTTGCATCCACTTTACATGCGCTTTGAGCTTGCAAATTACATGGCAATGGCCTTGCTAAAATCGTGAGCTCATTTAAATCAACGAGGGCCGCAGAAAAATTTTATCGCTCTAACCATTTCTAAGCGCGCAAATGAAGCGAACACTTAACAAAAAATTAGCCTTTTTATTGCTACTATTCGATCAAATTTTCCTGCGCCCTTCGTTAATTTGGATGAAGCGAACGATTTGCAGAGCAATTACCATGTAATTTACAAGCTCAAAGCGCATGTAAAGTGGATCAAATGGTGGCTCATATCTTTTGATACTTGTGTTTTTGGCTCTATTTGCTTGTTTTTGTCATGAAAAGCTTAATATCGATCACAAAAAAATTTCGACTACACGGAAAGATGCGCCTGTTAAGCACTACAAGATGTATGCTTAGCTCGAACTAGAAAATACTGTGGCGCGAATTTAAAGGCGAAAAACCAAGTGGCTCTATCTTTTTGATACGCACTGTATATGCCTCATAACGTAATAGTAACAATGTTAATAGTGTTGTTCAGTAAAATTCAACGATATTACGGCTGGAGAACGATTAAGAAGACTTAGAAAACAAGCTATAAATTCCATAATTTATGTATCTTTTTATGAAAATACGGAAAGATTTCCCGTTTAGGCTTAACAAAAAACTTCCTCCATTTGTACTCGAAAACGAATTCGCGGAAAGTTACTTTTCTTAATTGATTCCAAGTTTGGTTCTTAAAATCTATTTGAAATATTTTAAAGAGGCTGAAGAGCCGCAAATCTACGCAAATCGATCCGACAAGAAAGTGCGCCCTGCGTTTGCGTAGCGGATGGCCGTGAAAAATATGCCTTTTTCTAGAGCAAAAAAAGATGTTTCGATTTTTGCAGCTCACCCCGCTCTTTGGATCACCTTAATACGCTTGCGGTCGCATCGATCAATATCAAACTTTATCCTAGACTTTGTTGGTGCCTCTTAAAAACTTATTTAAAGATGCGTTCAGCTTTTATCGGGGTTTTGGAAACATGCCTGACCTTCCGGAAGAATTTGACGTCTTGTTTTCATTTTTTTTTGGAATAGTGATGTTTCCAGCCTGGGGGAAGGTGCTGGGCGTTGAAAGTGTCCTAATAGGTTATTTCCAATCGTTTCAAAACTCGGCTTTATTTAATTTTGGATAGAAATTAATGTTCTGATTTTGGTGATGGTTCGCGCTTTAATGGCTCTTTAATATCATCCTCTTTTTTCGACAGGTTAACCTATTTAAAATGTGAGGAAATGGATGGTTTCGATGCGGCTACGAATTGCCATCAGAATGTCGAATTTCATAATGTCGCAACAGAATTACCTAGAAACCAGATTTTAAAGGGCAATTCGCTTTTGAGGATTTCGAAGGCAAGAACGCAAGAATTTGTCGCTTTGATTTAAAAATTTCGTGGAAAAGTAATGTTTCGTGTCAGGGTAAAGTCCGGGCGCTAAAGTTGCCGCATTGATCTCTTGGCGGTTTTTCTGAAGTGTTCGCTGGAAAGTAATGTTTGGATTCGGGGCTAGCGGGCGCAGCCCGCTAGTTTGGTTATGGTTCCGCGTTTTTAGTGGCCTTTTAATACCATATTTTCTTCTCACGTTTCAATGCATATAAGCGGATTTTGCCGAGAGCGCGACACGCAACGGGCGGGTCGGCCTTTCCATGGCGTAATGGATTAGCGTGAAAATGTCCTTTCATGCTTTTAGAGCTTTTTTACTTTTTAAAAATGATGTTGCAACTTTAGGCATACTCCCATATTTAGTTGGCCCCCAATACATTGTTGTGAGATAGATATAGACGGGCTTACAAACAGCGCTAAAGTTTGGATTTTCCTTTATTTTCCGGAGAAAAATGATGTTGCTACTTTGTGTATCGTTGTGCCATGGTATTGATTCTCAATTCCGTGATCATATAAGTCGTAATGCCATTTCAAATACAATAAAATAAACAAAAATAACAGGTCTGCTCTAATTGGCGAACAGCCAATCAGTGATCCCAAAAAACGGGGAAAACAGCGCGTTATTTCGGACAATTTCAGTTACGACATATAGTTCACGCGGGCCCAAACAGTCCAATTCCCCAAAAGATTTTTCTCGATTTTGAATTTTCTTTATTTGGATTTGTTCTCGAAAAAACATGTTTCGATAATGTTGGTAGCAGCGCGCTTTTATGGTATGGTAATAAGCGCTGTCTAATCTGATAAATATTCTTATTTTTTTCTGGGTTATTACTCTTGTAAAAAATATATGCCTAGTTAATACAATTGACATAATTACTGGATATTAAATATACCTCGGAACTGTCAAAGGTCACCAATTTCCCGGCCATCCTCAGCACCGTGATCTGAAAATTCGATTTTTAATTTGGCCAAAAATTAAGTAAAATCATGTTTCAAGTATAGAAATAACAAAAACAGAATTTTTCATTCGTAATACCTCATAGATTCCACCTACTTATTATTCATTTGAATTTGATTTTGACTAATTAATGCTAAATTGAGCATGATTTAAATAATGTATATAAACCAACCTCGCCCGTTGAATGGACCATCGAGCGCAGCTTTTTCTCCTGGGCACGCGTCTGAAAATAATAAAAATTGAACCTAAAAAAATCGTTGTTTTTACTGATAACCTGACTAGGGAATGTTTTGGGGCGGACATCGGACCCAGCTATGTGAGCAGGCCCGTAGCGGAATTCGGAATTTCGGGGCCCAAAAATTTTGGCGACCTCCCCGGTCGCCACTTTTTAAAAAACCGAAAATCGCGTCAATAGCGCCGCAGGCAAAAAATCGCAAAGGCGTTCGCTACACTCAAATTCGTGCGAAAACAAGGCAGAAAACGCGCCGTAGGCGACAATTTTCTATGAACAATTGATTCACCAATGAAAAACCAGCGCCGCGCAGGCAAAAATTTTGAAAAAAATAGGCTTCAAGAAGGGGGCCCAGGGCCCACTGGGCCCCTACGGGCCTGTATGTAGTATGTGCATCTTGTAGAGCTCGACGAGACGAGCGAATGAAAAAAAAAAGTTAATGTAGTCCTTCGGGATGCAAAATGGAAGCTTTCGACCAAAAAGCAAAAATTAAAGGGGCTCCGAACTGCCAAATCAAAGCCCTTTTGGGAGGCCTCTTTGATTTCTGGCAAATTGCCAGCGGGTGCTGCGGGACGAGAGCCCTCACTCTTTTCGATTTTTGCGCGAAGTTGTTTTTGCCCGGTTTCTTTGTGAAAACACTATAATTCGCGCATTCTGAGCCCATTTTTGAAATCCTCACTCAATTTTAAATAGTTTGGGTGTTTTATTCATCAAATTTGGCCCAGAAACAGCCGAGAACGTGATTTCGAGGTGACAACAGGGAATTGCAAATTTGCGAGCTGCCCGGGCCCCTGGGCGTATAGAGGCCTCCCACGTACAGGGCTCCGATTTTCGGGTCGTCACTCAATTTTTGGCATTTCGTAGCCCCTTTAAAAATTGTGAGCGGATCCGTACCCCCGTCACCATCCCCGGACGCCGACCACTAACCCACTAGACTACCAGAGCACGGCGGTTGGGGTGTGGGGAGGACTTATGAAGATATCGCGAAAAACTTTAAACCGCTGTAACTTTATTAAAAAAGGTATCCGCAGCTAAAAGTTACATCAATCGATTCGTCTCGTCGAGCTCTACAAGATGCACATACTCACATAGCTGGGTCCGGTGTCCGCCCCAAAACATTCCCTAGTCAGGAGACGGAATTCCATCAACATTTTTACACACGACCAGTCATGAAAGTGAAACATTTTTGTTTAGATTTCAAAACAAAATTTTTATTTAACGCGGGTTTTCACCCGATTTTTTATATTTATCTAGCTATCCTAATTTACAAAGTCAGAAGCTAATACCATTAGCGGTTAAAAATACCAACGTTCGAATGCTCGTTTCGGAAAAAATGTTTCGTAAAAAGATCAATTTCCGTGAGACCACTTGTAGTTAATTAATTGTACTAATCGTCAAAATTCGCCAAAACTGTTGCGAAATGACTAAGCATTAATTGGTTCCCAATACATAAATCGAATCTTTAAACTTGTTTTAGTTTCCATTTTCGTAAATAAAAAGTGTTTCAGAAATTTCACAATACCGAAATTTTTTCCTTAACAATTTGGTAGCATTTATGTTTCGAGAATTCCATGAATTCCTAGCCGGAACTGTTTTTAGTGTGTTACAATACGTTTTTAAGGTTGAAAGGTATAATATCGAAAACTAAAACCCAACCTGATAAACGTCAAGCGCCAACGATCCGACGGAAATGACGACAATCACCGACGCGTAGTAGAGGTACTCATCCCAATACCATAAGCTTACACTAAAAGGGTTGATTAAGATTGTAGGTTTCGACAAATGTTCCTCAAAAAAATGTTCGATGCATGCTATTAGGTACATGATCCGTATGCTTTTTTTTGTAAAGATGTACAGGGTGGCCCAAAAAAGGCGACCCATCTGGAATTTCGCCGTCTTCCATTCAATCGGCCCCAAATTTGGACCAGAGGTGTATTAGAACCTAAATAACAACAATCCTGACTTATAGCCAGGCCCGTACGAGCGGGGGCACCGGGGGCACGGTGGAGGTCCGAAAATTCGTCAGGGGGGACCCTTATGGCGGCGCCTGTGGCGCTGTTTATCACTATTTCGAAACGATTTTTACTTCTAGAAAATCTTTTTCTAAAATTTTTTGCCTGCGGCGGTCGTTTTCATTAGTGCACCATTTTTGCTGAACAAAATTTCGCTTGCGCGCGAATTTTCCAGACGAAATTAATTAAATAAGCTTTGATTTAAGCGATTTTTACAACGCAAAGTTACCCAAGTTCTTAAGCGAAATTAGGAATTCGCAACCAGAAGTCGAGGCCAATCGATACAAAGTCCAAAAAGATAACCGAAAAGCCTGTTCAGAATTCCGGAAAAAACCGTATTTCCTTTATAACTCGAGAACGACCGTAGCTACGGGGCTATTAGTCCGGATTGTTGTTATTTAGGGGCTGATACACCTTTGGTCCAAATTTGGGGCCGATTGGATGCAACACGGCGAAATCCCAGATGGGTCCTTTTTTGGAGCACCCTGTAACTTAAGGTAAAATAGGTCAAGCACTATTTTCATACTTTAAAGGTAAAGCCTAATAAGTAAAATAGGCGCACATTACCACGAAGTTCTTAAAATTTTGAAGTTTCAACCAACATAGGTAAAAGTGAATTTTTAAAACGAGTATTGCAAAGATGTTGCGCGTGCAGAACATTTATTCGTTTTTCTTTTGTTCATGTGCTGGGTAAAATTGATTGGTGCAAGCGTTTCAAATCGAATTTTCCAAAGCTGGGATATTTTATATAGTAAATTAACCTTATTCTACTTTTTATTACCTTACTTTGCTTTTACTGGCTACGGCGACCTGTCTTTTTTCAGTGATCTCCCAATACTGCAGACCCGCATTAATTCACGTCAAATTTTTATGTTTCAAAAAATATAGGTAAAAATGTATTTTTAAAAACCGGTATTACGTACGAGCCATTTGTCAAACTGGATCTTTTTCATCTCTTTCTTCCGTCGTCGCGCTTGGTTATATTGGTTCAAGCGTTACAATTGAATCTTTCGCAGCTAATAAATATATTATTTTTTGAATTCTAAAATTTCTTCTATAATATTAATTTTTCTGGCGCAGCTAAATGGCTGATTTTTCGATATTCATCCCAATACCAAAAGTTGCGCCGAAAAGCTCTTTGAAATTGTAAGTTTCACCAAATAGTGAGAAGAATGAATTTTTAAAAAACGCATTGTGATTTAGATGAGGGGTTTTATTCTTTTCCGCGAATTGCTTTGTAATGCTGCAAATTAATGTTTCAAAACTAATTTATGATGTAGCATGCTTTAAGTCTAAATTATTAGCTCTTTCGGTACGGTAGCCCTGGTCGGGTTGATCAAATGTGAGGTTTTTCAGCATTCACCCCATAAACCATAGCCTTACGCTAAAGGTTCTTCGTAAAATGTAAGTTTCAAAAAATATTGCTAAAATTGGATCTTCATATTTTATATTACTCTAACCTCTGAGATTCCGCCTTTTTCTACTTATCTTTTGGAATAGTGTTAATAAATAATGTTCCAAAGCTAAGATAAAATTTCTTAGGCATTAATTACACTTTACAGTACCAAATCTGCAGTTTAATATGTATTTACCACAGGCTCTCACCAAATATAATTGTTTAAATTTTGTAGTTTCACCTTAAATTGCTAAAAAGAGTTTTTAAGCAGGGGATTGTAACCTATTCACATAGCAGGCTTTATTCTTTTTTTTTCTTTGGTTGCCGTACTTTGTATTCGTCGAAACGCTGCAAATCTAATTTTTCAAAAATGATGTATGTTCTATCATACATTATTTCTATACTATTAGCTGCTGCGAAATCTGGTTTTTCGGGATTCGCCCCAATACCAAAAGATACGCAAAAGATATTTTTGAAATCTTAAGTTACATCAAATTGTGTTAAGCAATCATTTTTTTAAGTATTCTGAACTTGAGCAGTGCGACACCGCTAACCGTTTTCGGTCGATTTTCGGTGAAATCGCGGCAAATTCAGTGTTTCGTCTTTAGCTACCCTTTTGATAAAAATACTGTAGGAATTCGGCAAGAAATCATATTCACGGGACAATAGCGCCGCGGCATGTCCGCGCGGCCCGTGGGCTCGCCGTGCACGGGCCGCGACTCCGCCGCGTGCGCGCCGTGGTCGCGGACCCGCCGCGGAGAAGCCGCGCGCGCATTGACCGCGCATTCCTTGCGTGCACGGCGCGCGGTCCCGCCGTGCGCGGCCCGTCCGGGGCCGTGCAGCCGCGGTCATTGCGCGCGCGCACCGCGGGCAACGCGCGAACGGGCCGGTACCGGCCCCTGCGCGCGATGGACGCGGCGCTGCTGTCCCGTGTTGTTCAATAGTAACTTTTCTGGCGCAGCTAAATGGTTTGTTTTTCCGCGTTCGTCCAATACGAAAAGTTGCGCTAAAACTGTTCGAAATTGTAAGTTTCACCAAATATTACTAATAATTCATTTTTTAAACTGCTTGTTGTCATTTGGAAGTAGACTGGGATTCTTTTCCGCCGGGTTTATGCAAACATATTGAAGGGCTGCCGACCGCATGTGTCGATCCCCCCCCCCATCAACAAATTGGCAAGTAGCCAACAGGGGAGAGAGCGCGCCCAGGGGAGAGGCGCAGAGACATTTTCTTTTCCGCGCGTAATCGATTGACTATGCCGTCGGCATCCCTTTAATGAATATAAATTTTTATAAAAATTTAAATATTTTTAATACACATTTATTTATAGTTACTGCGATACCATTGAATTTGGTCAATGGGATTTTTTCAGTATTCACTTAAACTCATCACTTAGAGTTTTTGAAATCGCAAGTTTCATCATATTGTGTTAAGAATGTTTTTTTTAAAAGCATTCGGCCCTTGAGAATTAGTTTTGCCCTCAATTCCGATTTCAGCCTTGAAGTTTGTGTTTAAATAGGGTTTCGCTGCGATAGTATTTTACAAAGACAATAATACGATTTTCGACGCACCTGAGGACTTGAAAGATGTAGAATGGCGTGATGGCTTCTTTGAAAAGGAGCACCACAATCGGCTTCAGCTTCACCTCGATGATATTTTTGCCGTACGTAATGCGCCGTTGGTCGACCTGCAAAAATATATTGAACTCTAAGTCTTCCTCAAATTCAACTGAATAGCATTTTAGGGAAAGGGCACTATTTCGAACACAACTTATCGAAACTGTAAAATAGCGGAGAGAGCGAGAGAGAGGAGAGAGAGAGAGAGAGTGACAGAGAGTGAGAGAGAGTGACAGCGAGAGAGAGAGAGAGAGAGAGAGAGAGAGAGAGAGAGAGAGAGAGAGAGAGTGAGTGAGAGCGAGCGAGAGTGCCAGCGAGAGAGAGAGAACGAGAGAAAGTGCGAGCGAGAGAGAAGTTTCGATTAAATTACCTTCTCCGTCGTCAGCCCGGCGCTGTCGTCCATCCTGTCGATGAACACCTTCACAGGCGCCTGAAAATTTGTAAAAATTATAATAGTTTTACTGTGATAATTTGGCTTTATTGAAGAAACTGCGAGTGGTGCTTTTTTCTGTTTTTCTTCACGAAATGTCTATCGCTGCATTAAGGCAAACCCCGGGGGATCCGAAGCGGCTATTTGTTCAAGCAATCAAAAACTATGTATACTATATAGATATTTTAGAAAATTTAGGGATTTTGTTTGGAAAAATAATTATCTTTAAGGAAAGGTTTAGAGAGTTTCGATCTTTTCTATTTTCATTCTTGAAAAATTTGTAAAATTTTTACTTTTAGGAATAGCAAAAAACCTTGTAGACGCAGCTCCTCTATTTAAATACGAAAAATGTTTCAATATTTTCGTTATTTTTTTTTGTATTTTTGCGCGTTGCGTATTCCGTGGCGGCAAAAATATCTATAAAATTTTGTTCAATCATTAGAAACGCCTTGCCGGGCTTTTTAAAATACGAAAATGCTGCTTGAAGCCGCGAAAAAATAAAGTGTTTCAAGCCCCCACCGTACTGTCAAGACTGGAGGGTGGCATAAATTGGCCGGCCTCCTCGAACCAAGCGTACACCATCTTGCGGAACGTGAAGAAACGAATTCGCGGCACTAAAAATGTACATTCAGGTAACACTTCTGGAACTTCAAGTAACTCCTTGGAACGATAAATTACGGATCAATTTTTCACCGGTAGTTTGTACCTTACGAAACATGTTTTTTTGCTTTTTGGACTAGTAATGTAATGGAGGAGATGGAGCTAGTAATGGAGTGAGTAATGGAAATCGACCCCGGTATCTAAGCAAGCTCGGATCGGGATGATTATTCCACCATTCGTAAGCCCTTGAAACGGCGAGAAAGCAAGCGAATTTTGTTTTATGAAATTTGTAGTCCGCGCTCGATATTCAACGATTTATTAAAAAGGCGTAAAACCAGCATCGTCCTGTTTGCTTTAGCACGCAATTTAGATGCGGCATTTTCAGAAAATTTGTGGTTTTCTTGCATTTTTGCCTTAAATTTAGTAAGTAATAATAGCTAAGTTGTCAAAGGAAAAGTGGTTTGTTCGCGCCTTTCCGAAAGCTTTCGATAGATGCCTAAAGCGTCAAAATCGGACGCTTCTCCGAGACGCTGGAGGGGTTTTTTTTGGGACATCCTATAGGGCGATTACGCTATCGAAATACGGTTTTGATGCTCGGAATCTTAAAGTTTCTGGTTTTGTCGTGATTTTTTTTCGAAGCAAGCCGATGGACCGGGGAAAAACATAGCTATAGTTCTAATTAAAGCTCCAACGAACGCAATAGGCAACATTTTCCGGAAATAAACACACCTAAAATGTGATCCAAGGCTAGTTTTCGATATTTCAGCTATTTTTCGGCATTTTGCCGACGTCATTCGATAAGCATCAAAAAAATACACCAAAAGTTTTAATTCCAGCTCAAAATAATGTAAGACGAAAAGGTTATGGTGAAAACACGGACAAGGCGGAAAACCCGCTAACAGGGATTTAATTCTATCATTTTTATTATCAACCAGCGGGGGAGGAGCCGCTTCGCGACTCTCCCCCGCTGGACCCCGTGGACCCCCTATGAATCGAGCGCCCTTCCACATAAACTTACCTGACGAAAGAAAAAACGCATCTCCCATGCAAACCTCTTTGTATTTACATGCGGCCCAAGCTTGAGCGGTTTGCTTCGAGATCAAGCCTGCGGCGCAAGTTTGAGCGGTTACCTCCTTCTTTAGCCTGCGGCGCTAGCTTCAATGGTTGGCTTTATTCGTTAGCCTGCGGCGCTAGCTTGCGCGGCTATCTTCGTTCTAAAGCCTGCGGCGCTAGCTTGTGCGGCTAGCTTTGTTCTAAAGCCTGCGGCGCTAGCTTGAGCGGCGGGCTTCGTTCTAAAGCCTGCGGCGCTAGCTTGAGCGGCTGGCTTCGTTCTAAAGCCTGCGGCGCTAGCTTGAGCGGCGGGCTTTGTTCTAGAGCCTGCGGCGCTAGCTTGAGCCTCCTTATCCCGCGGCGCAATTTTGAAGGGCTAGCTCTGACCTTGGTCCCGCGGCGCTAACTTCCCCGCTTCCGAAGCCTGCGGCGCTAGCTTGAGCAGTTAGTTTAATTCCTTGGCCTGCGGTGCAAGTTTGAGAGGGTAGCTTCATTCCAGAGGCTGCGGCTTGAGTGACTAACTTCATAATAACGTCCCTACACGGAAATCTACTCCGAAACGCACTTTCCGAGAAAAAAAGCAAAACTACTACGATATCCGAGGATCGAACCTCCGATGGTTGGATTAGCACGGCGAAGCGCTTACCACTACACCATTCAATGCTTGGCAGCACGCGCCAAACACCCATTTTATGTCTCAAGGGGGCTGCCCGGGGCAGGGGAAGGGAAGGCATCAGAGGCATATCCAAAGACTCGACCAAACTCGCGAGGGCAACTGGCAAGAATGAGGAAATTTTTTTCACATTATGCAAATTAGCCCTCCCGGACCCCCAAAACTCAATAAAACCGGCTTTAACTTTGTAAACTTGTATTTTATCGGGATTCTGAAAACGCCATCGGAAAGAGGAGGGTCGATTCCCCCGAGTGACCGAGAATTAAAGCATTTTGGACACGGGAAGGGCCTCAAATCGAGCCTCGAAAGTGACATCCACACACACACACACAGAGATACACTCCAAAATTATATAAGGTAGGATTTTTACGATCAAACAAGTAATTCCACATCGAGCAGCACTTCGAATTAGGTCAGAACCCGGTCTGGCTACGCCAGGGATTTTTGCAACATTTTTTCTCTAAAGAAAAATGAATTTACTGAGCACATCTCCATCCCTTTTTTAATGAAAATCAATAAAAATTTAATTAAATTTAAATTTAATTAAACTAATGCTCGTCATTTGTCATTTGTCAAAATAAATTTTAAGAAAATATAAATAAATAATATCGTGAATTTACCTTCTTTATAGTCCCCCTTTCCATCTGGCAATATCAACGGGCGTCCGCCGGCTTTTTGCTGAATTATCTGCACGCTCCGGTAGACGATCGTGTGGTTTTCGTCACTGAAAAAAAATTAATGTTTCAAAAAATTGCGGTCTCTATGAAAAATTTGGGAAATCAATCGCTCGTAGCAACAATAGCATAAATTCCTGTGCTGAAAATTTATAAAATTCCGGCACTGTCATAAAAGTAATAGAAATATCTGTAGTATTGAAAATACCATATTTAATATATCACCAAGGTTATAAATGAAGTTTTACATAATTGGCATGATTTGCCGGAACAAAGCTGGATCTGACTACCTAAAAAAAAACAAACAAAAATCCTGAAAATTCTAGAAACATCGAAGTTTAGAAGTTTGAGAGAGGCGTCCTAATTTGGTCTGGAGCACCACTACAATTATCATATTTTTAAAAAAAAACAATTTTTGCATAGATAAACCATTGCCTTAAAATGTTTTTGCAACTGGAATTATAGGAAAAAGAGATACAAGTTTCATTACTGCTAATTGATGAAAACTATGTAATGTTATTCCTGAAACATCCCAGTTCAAAGGGTCGAGAATTTTTTCCAAATTTTCATTAATGCAATTATCTAGACTAATTAACATTTTTCTAAGCCATAAAGCTCACATAATATAGACAATGTGGCCTTTTAAGATGTACAGTGGCGGTCAAAAGTTTATAAAATTTGTTGTTTTGACGATAACTCGGCACCCGTTTGCATAAGAGGTCCCATATTTGGCATACATGTGCATAAGGTGATGCAGAATCCGATAGCAATACTTTTTTATTTGAAAAACGTACAAGGAAAATATTTAGAAGTTTTACGAAAAAGCCCGCGTCAAAAGTTTATAAAAGTTTGTTTAAGACTCTCAATATAGACGATATCAGGTTTTTCAAAGATGCGGAAGGTTTTTAAATGTTAAGTCTTGACTTAGACTACAATTTCCCATTGCAAATTTGGCTCGAAAATTTTTAGAGAATTTTTTCTAAAACACCATTTTAATATGATAATTGCACTTTTCCGGCTCTAGCGTACGGTGTCTTTCCGTACGCATAAATACACTAATACGACCGGAAAGCGCAGCCAAAGAGGAGCATTTTGGTATATAAATCAATGCATAATATTGGGAAATGGGGAAGATATGGATGGTTGAATACCGGACCTCGCCAATCCTGGGTGTCTAGACTCTAGACAGACCCGGCTACCAATTACTATTACGCGCGCTTGCCGTTAACTTCGACCGTCCAGTATTCGGGGCAGGGTCAATCTCATGTGGTGTTTTATATACCAAAATGCTCCTCTTTGGCTGCGCTTTCCGGTCGTATTAGTGTATTTATGCGTACGGAAAGACACGGTACGCCGGAGCCGAAAAAGTGCAATTATCATATTAAAATAGTGTTTTAGAAAAAATTCTCTGAAAATTTTCGAGCCAAATTTCACGGGAAATTGCTAGTAAAGTCCAGACTTGATTTAAATACTTTTGGCATCTGGAAAGCCTGATATCGTCTATATTGAAGGTCTTAAACAAAATTTATAAGCACTTTGACGCGGGCTCTTCGTAAACTCCCCAAATATTTTTCTTGTACGTTTTTCAAATAAAAAAAGTATGGCTATCGGATTCTGCACCACCTTATGCACATGTATACCAAATATGGACCTCTGATGCAAACGGGTGTCGAGTTATCGTCAAAACAAGAAATTTTATAAACTTTTGACCACCACTGTATCTTGACAAAATAAATGTTTCGAAAAAATTCCTGTTCGCCTAAAAATTTCATACCCCTATTACGGGTTGGTTTTTTTATTCATAGTTTCAGCGCATGTTTGTGGCTTTATTGAATTCATCTAATAATAAAATTAATGCAATAAAGATGAGTTGATTCTTATTGGCTGATCTGAGTACCGACGAGAAATCCCACTATCTAATTTTATTCTTGAAACATATTTTTCTATTTTTCTATTTTTCTATTTACATACTAGTTTTCTACGCAATAAAATTTACATAATATAGACGATGGTGGCTTCTTCAAGTGTACACTTCTCGGCTCGGATCGAAATGTACCTGAAATTCATGTCACAAAAAGACAGTTGCAGTAGTCTAGCTTCCACACACTGCACTTTCAATTTGTACGAAACATTCTTTTTTTGCTAAAAAGTTGCCTTGGTTTCACAGAATTTACTTCAGATTACTACCTTTGCTATTTTTTGAATAATTGATTTTTATTAGTGATAATTGGAGCATCGCTATTACTTTTCTAGATTCCAGCTGCCAATAATATCTATCAAACATGTTTATTATTTTTTCTAAGTTTGATGGTTGGCACAATTAATATGTAGTTACTATTTTAATTAACGGGATTGCGGTATTATTATATATTTTTTGCCATACTATGACAAAAATCTCAAATTAAAAATAACATAAGAAGCATCTGAGAGGTGTTTATTATCCTAGCAGCTTCTCAAGTGACTATGAAATTTGGTGAAACCTTTTCCTGTAAACATCTCCATTTTGAATTTAAAAAATTAACGCCTGATTTATGTCAAACATGAGTTAGAATTTAATAGATGTTAAAAGATTGAAATCCTACAGATTCATTGCTTGTTACTAGATATTAATGTTTTGGAGTCGCGCCTGAAGAAGCAGCTAGTATAAAATATGATCCTTCTAAGCTTTTATGCCCCCAGGTTCCGGCTAGACCAAAATGTTTTAAAATTTATGTTTTCAGCTAGATCACTACCGTAGTTTTCTATTGCTCTAACCATTTAAAGCGCACGTTCAGGGAGGGGCCGTGTACTCGATCCGAAACAGTGTACACCCTAATGGACGTAAGGATTGCGCGCACGGCCTACCCGTGCTGCCGACAGGTTTTCCCTTCTCTTTTGTCTGACGTCACGGCGCCACTTTCCCCCCGCCAGGTTGTAGCTGTGCTGAATTTTATGCATCCTGTGTTCCGAGCGGGCCCGCGGTTCGACCTTGGCCGCGGCAAATACCTTTGCTTTGGTTTCACATTATAATCGTCCTGAACGTGCCCTTTAAAGGCTTAACTTGAAAAAGTGGTAGCAAGTTCCATTACTTTTCTAAATTCCCACCCGTCTCTAAATGACTATGAAACATGTATTTCATTTTTTCTTTTTGATGGTTGGCGCGATTAAAATGTATTTACTGTCTTAATTAACGGGGTTTAAATTTTTTAGCAATAATGTGGCGCAAAAACAATAAAGCAATCCTCAAAGCCTTAAAAGTTTCAACGAGGGTCGCTAGTGGATATCAGATTTGGTAAAGCTTTTTTCTTAAACAATTTTTTCGATTTGAAAGTTTCAAAATTAACCCTTGATTCATGTCAAACGTTAGTGATAATTTACCCTTTTGAAGTGAACGTAACCTTTAGCCTATAATTGTTGGCCGAATTAACGTTTTCGAGTTGCGCCCCACCAGCAGTTAGTATAAAACATAATCTTTCTAAGCCCTCTTGCCCCTGGATTCTACTAGCTCAAAGTTTTTAAAATGGATTTTTGTCATTTCGACGACTACTGTATTTTCTTAAAAAAGCAAATTACCGTACCACTCCTCCTTCCAATGCAGCAGCAACCGAAAAATGCCGAGCGTGCAGAATGACAGCGCGTAGAATACGAACTAAGAATTTTCGATTATTTTGTAGTTTGAAAACGCGTGAAACATTTTGTTAAATAGTTTTTAAATACCCACATCTCTCATTGCCGTCGTACGGTATCCATAAATGTCCATGTAAATGTCACCTGAAAAAAGGCAGTTTAAAAGCCTCATTGACAACAGAAATTACGTGAATACAATTACATTTTGACTTGCGCGTATTTGTAACATTCAATCTGTCAAATCGAATAGTTTTGCAATAAATTACTTTTATTTAATTAACTATATTTTTATTAGTTTAGTTTTTATCTTTAGTCTTAATTCCAATCGATCCGCCATTACTGACGACTTTTGGCATAATTTTGGTGTAACATTTAATTTCTGCTGAATTACCCGGAAAACACGTGCTTTTTAAAGTTTTGTGAATTGATATTCCGTTATTAATATTCTTATATAAATAGAGAAGGTATTTCTTAAATTTTTTTGACCATTTCTCCGGCGAAAACTTTACAAAGCTATATAAAAACTACAAAAATACAGTTTTTTCGGCCAAAAGATCAAAATTTTTGAAGACTTTTGATGATTTTTCACTTGAAACCATTTGAATTTGGCTCACAGAAGCATTAAATACTTACTATTGCGTCACTACGCATTTCTGTACTTAACTAAGAAAGAAATTTCGCCCCCCCCCCCGATAATGCTAAAGAAACTAAATGTAAAAGAACCTAAAAGTCATAAAAAGAAAACGAACCTGACTGTACCCGGGTATGATGCCCTGGCGGCCCTCCGGCCCTTACTTCCGGAGCGGCGCCTCCCATGGCTCCTTTTCCCTGCTCCTCTACGCGGTTCCGCGAGATTCCTATTGCCGATCAGTTTCGACGCCGTGTTGTGGGCTGCCGTCGAGTGCGGCGCCTGGCAAGTTTTGGAGAGCCCGACGTTGAGGTGTCGGCCTTAAAAAATATAATTATTGGTTTAACACTTAAAAATCACAAATTCAGAATGAAACATAAATAGTAACAATATCCATCCGCGAAATGAATGAAACCCCGTATTCAGACAAATAGAGAATGTTTCATAATCTCGCAATTTCAGGGCTCATGAAAATGCGAGATTAAAATTGCGAGATGATGTAATTCCAAAATTCTGATACCAACAACGCCTTTATTATCTACACCACAAAACGTGCAGAAGACCGAATTTGTAAAACACCTTTTTGGGAAAAAAAATTAGAGCTAAAGTCTAAGAAAGCCGATGTTTATTAACAACAAAACCTAAAAGCCTAGCTGACAACGCTACGAAAAATCACGCATGAGAGTACATAAAAATCGGAGAAAGGCACGAGCTTCAAAATCTAGTAGCAGCCAGTAAACCATGTTCGTATTGCGTACAGAACAATTATCAGTATTAGGCAAAAAGCAGCAACACATTTTTTATCGGTATTCGGAGAGCGAAAAAGAAGTTCAAACGTAATCGCTTACGCTATGGAATTTTAGACAACGTGAGTGGATTCGGATTTTTCGAACGCTACACAGTGGCCCGTCTCCTAATAAAACTTCCGGTAGATTTGGAAACGAGGGAAGACCGCAAAGCTTACAGCCAGGGGCTGTAGGAAAAAATTTCGGGGGGTCCCGAAGAATTTTTCAAAAACCACAAAACATTAACGAGAAAACAGCGCCGCAGGCAAATTTTTTTGAAAAAAAGGTTACATAGCTCTACAAATAGCCGTAAAAAAGTAAAAAAATAGCGCCGAGGTAACAAAATTCTGAGAAAATGAAAATCATAGGGTCCCCCTTATGAAATTTTCAGGCCAGCCGATTTCGGGGATGGCCGGGCCCCCGGGGCCGGTATTACGCTACGTCCCTGCTTACAGCAGATGCGTGGCGCATTACGAAAGCAGGCCTGCGCAGCTAAATCCCACTCTTTATATCGCGCACCCACGCGCAACGCGCGAAAAACACGTACAGTACGCCCTTTCCCTTGAACCATCTGGACGGAACTGATGGGCGGTTGTGGTGAGCGGATTCGGTTTTTTTCGAACGTTGCTGTTCAACTATACAGGATAGAAACTACCCAACAACTAAAATTGTAGCAACACCTTTTTTTAAATATTTTGGCGCACCAAGACGGAGAAATTACCGTAGCTTTAAAGCACAAAACAAAAAAATTGGGCTGGCAGGACACAACACTAGGAATAAATATTATAAATCCACAATAAAATTTAATATTAATATACTTAAAGTAAGAAAGAGTTGGAGCCAATAATTATGCGGCTGCAAAGAAAAAGGAGTACCTATTAATAAAATCGTCGTTGACGGTCACCAGCCAAATCTCAGCAAAATTTTTTTTCATCAAAACTCATCATTTATCTACACGAAAAAGTTCGGGACTCGTGATATAAAATTTTAAATGCCTGCGCCGCCATTTTTTTTAGAATTTGCTGCCTATAAAAACAAGTGAATATTTACAGCACTAGCTTCTAAAATAATGGCAATTTTAGAAACATACAATTTTGAAAAGCGCGAAAGCTGTTGAGAATTAAAGTTTTCCCCCTTAAAAGCGGATTTACGCGAGCAAAAAAATATAAAGTGACCTTTTATAAAAATGTATTGATACGATATGCAACCTTTAGGCAGCGTTTGTTAAAATCCAGATTAGATCTATACTAAATCAGAGGAGTCTATTATCTCGATCACAACGTTTGCGGATAACGAATTTTGTAGAAACACCTTTTTTAGAATTTTTTGCCTGAAAATATGACAACCAATTTTTTAGCAAAAACAGTTAAAATTAAAGCTGAAATTAAGAAGAAGCTCGGGGAATATAGCAACGCCGCACCAAAAAAATAGTAATCGGGTGTATAGCCTACTGTATTTTATCGGGTGTAGTATGGGGTACCAGGTCAGGCAATGATTAGCAACACATTTTTTATCGGCTTCCGGAAAGTGAAAAAGAGGTCGCACGAAGCGTAATTGCTTACGCCATCAAATTCTCAGGTACGGGAGCTGGTGTTCATGGCTTTTCTGTCTTCGTTTTTCGCCAACTTCAGGATTAGCAACTATCCCCCAGCTAAAACAAGTAAATAACTTATGCCGCAATACTGAATTAATCAAAAGCGTTTGCCGAAACTAGCCAAATACCGGCAACACATCTTTTTGAATGGAGACCGATCTTTCGAGCGTGATCGAGAAATTTTATAACCCTGGAACTTTGATAAAAAAGGTTATATATGAATTCCGCTGCACAAATTAAAAATCGACATGGTAAAAGTAGTTTTTTCCAAATTAAAAGTCGCTAAAATTGCTATATCTTCAATCAAAAATATTCTTATAAGCATTGACAACAAGATTCCCCGGATTCAAAGCGGCTGATATTGCTTGAAATGGGCTTACCCAAAGCCGTCCAATATAAGAAACATGTGTTCTAAATGCGCGCGAAACATTTCAGGTTTGTTTTCGCAATGGGCCTAATCGCTACGCCATTGTATTCTTAGAGCCTTGCTGCCCGGGTGTGAAAATCGAGAGCTATCTAATATAACTAACCTGCTAAATGGTGTAGAGCAAGCTTTTAAAATTAAATGACGATTTGGCTGGCGTCCAAAAAGCAGATTTTGAGCCGACAACACGGAAAAATAATCGACGAATCGCCACATTGATAATCAGCTTAACAAACCGGACACCACGCGACACTCCTAATAACAATCAGATAAAGAGAGAGTGTGAGAAGCGAGAGAGAGAGAGAGAGAGAGAAAGAGTGAGCGATAGAGTGAGAGAGAGCCAGTGTCACTGTGAACGCATGGCTGAAAAAATGTTTCAGCAATTTTGAAGAATCCGTTATATTTTCTACGCGTATTGTTTGTATGCGTCTGACAAACAAAGAAAAAAGCAAAAGAGAGTGAGAGAGAGAGAGAGAAAGTGAGAGAGAGAGAAAGTGAGAAAGAGAGTAACCAATAGAAAAATGGCTATATACAACAAAAATGACCGTTTAGAGTGAATAAAGCAAATGAAAAGAGCGGGAAGATGGCAAAAAATCGAAGCACGTGGCGCCATTTAGCGCCCCTCAAAAAAGCCAAAGCAGTCGGCCAACAAAACGGCCTATAAATTGAGGCATTCAACGAAGAAGCGGCGGTGAAGCAGAGGGGTACTATCAGTGATCTTTAGCGAACTTTTCAGAGGCGCTGCCTTTTGGATGTTCGGATGACTTTTTGAGAAATAATGTTTCAAAAAACGTTTAAGATTTAGCTTATGCGGGTAAACTAATTGATTGCGGCGTCTCCTTTTGATAATCAATAACATATTTTTATAGTGTTGTTACTCGTTTACAAAGCTATAAAATAAATTTAATTTCGAAAATTCGAAAGTTGGGTAATTTTCTAAATTTTTGGCCAAAAATTCAATATTTTTTATGAGGTTGCTTATATTGCATATTATATCTATTGAAAGCTCCCGAACAGGCGAGAGAACAAGGAGGGTTCATTTTCTTAACTCCTGCTAAAAATGTCCAGTTTTTTCGAAAAATGTTAAATATCGATGGAATCGGATTTCATTTTAGAAAAGGATACCCGCATGTTTTCTCGCCTTTTTAAGAGCTTTCGATTGATAGCTAAACCGTAAACATCGGACTCGACTGCGGACCGCTAGGTGGGGGGGATTTGGGACACCCTGTAGATGGTTCGAACATAAATAGCGAATGCAATGCATTGCGGTAAAAGAATGCAAGATTTATCCAAAACTCGATAAAACATCAGTACTATTTCCAAGGGAAGGTCAATAAATAAACCTCAACCTTTTCCTAAAAACTCTTTTTTAAAAAAAATCATTTTCATTGGGCACCGTCATAATTTTTGACCATTCATTCGACCTGGTCCTTGAGTACATTATTGCGAAGCCTGATTCGGCAAAAGAAAACAAGAAACATACTTTTTTGGACAGGGTGGGTGGTTACGAGTTACGGCGGTTTTTTGTTGTCTTACCAACACGCAGAAAAGCCGGATTTTTCGTAAACAGTATAATTCAGAAAAAAATCGAACATTAAGTTAATCCGAATCATAAAAAATTTTGAAGCAAATGCACGTCCAAAACGGCTCAATTGAACATTGAAAGTAATTG